AGGTGTGATGCCTATACACCTGTTTGCAAGAGTTTCTAAGAAATGGGATGGAATTAGCTCCTTTCTTCCTCAAACAGATCTTCTGGGTTGGGTTACTGTTCTCTGCTACCATTTGTTATCTCTGAGAATATTACCTGTGTCTTCACCATGTCTCTCCAGATAATATCTGAAGCCTCCCGTTTGGCCCTCAGACATTCTTATTCAGTGACCCTAATCATGATTTTCCTCAACATTTCCTATTTCTGGATTATATCACTTCAATTTTTATTTAAAATTTTTACTTTTTGCCCTGTGGTCTTATATAAAACAAAGTAAGTCACTTCAAGTTTTCTCAGTGTGACAGAGGTATAAATGTACACATGAATACATATATACATGGAAGAGTACATAAGTATATCTATGATTTTATTATGTCTAGCTTCATACTAGTAATTAACTCATTTTCTTTTTGATCTAAATTAAATGTGATTGAGTAATAGAATTTTAAACCTCAAAAATACTTTAGATAAAATCTCACCCAATCCTCAGTATTACTTTAGATACAGAAATGGGGGGTCTTTAACATATTCATGTCCACAAACAACTAAGCCAAATGGCTTATATTTAGAATTCCAGAACCAGAGAAATTGCTCAGCAACTAACAACACTGGCTGCTTTTTCTTAGGACTCAGGTTCAATTCCAAGCACCTGAATGGCAGCTCACAATCTTCTGTATCTCTAGTCCCGGGAGATCTGCTGCCTGCTGCCTCTAGCCTCTGCAGACATCAGCCACACATGTTGTTACAGTGCATGCATGGAGGTTAAACACTCATACACATTCTCAATCAGTGAATCTTTACATTTAGAAATCTAATTTCTGTTCAAACAAATACCCCCTCTTTATTCATCAAATTGCTTATCCCACTTATTACCTGAAGAACTAGGTAGTCACTAAAAGTAGGAAGAAATGGAAATAAAGTTGGTCATTTCATTTAGCTGGCTACTTGGCATTTATAAAAGTTACAAAACTTGGACATTTATCAAGGTGAAGAAGTGTCTTTACTGAATGTGTTATGCACCCAATTTCTAGTAAAGAAGGAAATAGGCACATATTGTAGAAACACCACGTTTTCAGCTCATGCTTCCACGCAGCAGCCTAGAGTAAGTGATGTTGTCCCAGAAGCATGGCTGTGAGAGCAAATGTCCTTTCTGTAGAGCTGTTTACCTGTGCTGGTTTACTTGGGTTGATTTGTTAGTCAGTCATGTGTGGAGAATCCCACTTGCTCAAGCTTGAAACTTTCAAGAATTCACTTTGATAATGCAGGAGTGGTCTTTCAAACTTAGCATTGGTAGACTATAGTTAGTATGCTATATGGTGGCCAAGAAAAGTCTATGGAAGATGAAGAAATAATTGAAAGAAACCAGGAATTTTTTTTATATACTGAGAGGGTAGATGCTGAACTTTAGGCTGAAGCACCATCTTTGTGGAGGTAGAAGGGAGAAGTCTTGTTACTCGTGTCCAGCTTTAGGTTTTGAGTGTGTGTGTCTGTGTGTGTGTGTCTGTGAGTGTGTGTATGAGCATGTGAACAATGATGTATGTGCACATGTGTGTGGGTGTCCATGGAAGTCAGAAGAGGGAGCTGGATGCCCTGGAGCTGGAGTTATAGGCAATAATGAATTATTCAATGCAAATGCTGGAACACAAATTCTTGTCTATACGGGAACAGTAAGTCCTCTTAACTGTTGAGCCATTTCTCACACTCAACTTTAGACTGGGTCCCAAAGACCTAATTGGGGTCTAAACACCATTGTTAGGCTAAGAAAAATCCCAAATGCCTATTTTATCTTGTTTGTTTTCTTTTCTTCGTCCAGGACACTAGGTTATTGTGTAGTGTTGAATGTCCCTGTTGTTCTCAGTGACATTTACACCCTTTTTGTTTCAATTAAACAATGAAATGGCCTGATAACACCTGAAGTGAAGTTTGTCACATGACCTTTGACTTTTAGTTTTTTGTCAAATGTAATTAACACAATACAGTGCTTTTCCATAAAAAGAATAGTGATTTAGGCTGATCAATGTTAATTAATTCATGTATGTGTACTTTGAATGAATAAGAGCATCAGTGTAAGGTGGTTTAAATTAACTACATTTTAGACTTTTCCTTTAATCACTCTAAGACTAGTGGGATGAAAAACTCATAATGGGGCTGAAACATAAATGATAAAAACAAATGTGGTGTCTATTTTAAATTAGATAAACTTCTAGTAATTTGAAATTTGTGCAAATAGATATCAAATGTTATCGAGGTTAAGGACAACATGATGTTAGTTTTGCTTCAATATTTGAAGGAATGGTTGAAGAGGAGAAGGCATGCTGACTTTTGTTTTCCATTTGCTTGCAAAGCTGTTTCAAGGTTGGCTTGGCTTCTAGATAACCAACTGTTCTAGAAACAGAATCAAAGGAATAAAAGTTTCTGAGTAAGGTGAGCCATTCCTAAGCTAAAATCAACTCTGTTTTATTCCCAACTTCCTGACAAATCACCAAATCATTTTTATGAGCATGTATGTGATTCATTGAGCCATTTGAGGAGGGTCAGAGGGTAAGGGTACCATTCACCAGCAGGTTTAAGGAGAGGAAGGTGAGGTCAGAAGGGAAGAGCAGCCCTCATTATTGCAGGAGGAACCTGGAGCCAGCTGTGTGCTGCCCCACTAGATTAGGCTCACCCTGGGTGTTGGTTAACACAGAGCACTGAGACGAAGATGTTCTGCATGGTACAGAATCTTCAAAGATCGGCTCATGGATTTCTATTACTATAAAGAGGATTAAAAGGTTTGAAAATTATAGTAAGCCCGTCTAACTGCTAACATATTTGCTAACATTCACCGACACAGAAAAAAGGGGGTAGGATATATTAGCTCAAAGCCCTGGTAGTTGGTGGAAACATCCTCAATAGCGAGATGATAGATAGGTAAATAGATGGATGGCTAGATAGATAGATGATAGAGAGATAAATAGACAGATAGATGATAGATAAATAGATACATAGATAGATAATAGATAAATAGATAAATGATAGCTAGCTAGCTAGATGGATAGATAAATAGATAGATAGATAGATAGATAGATAGATAGATAGATAGATAGATAACAGAGTGATAAAGAGATAGATGATAGAGAGATAGAGAGATATAGGTAGGTAGATAGATGATAGATAGATAGATAGATAGATAGATAAGAGAGAGAGAGAGAGATAAACAGATGTTTTTCTCTCCTCTTTCTCCCTCCCTCCTTCTCTCATTGCCAGAATATGAATTGGTTCACTTCAACTGGAACTGATTAAGAATTCATGGAGCAGAAAATGTAAGGGGTTCTCGAAGTAGAGGCTTTGAAAGACCAGTCTGAGCTATAAATAAATCGCTGCTGATATTCTGTTTTTTTTTTCTGAGCTGCTTATATATGCTTATTAAATCAGAGTGCAAGCACAAAGCAAAGCAGGCACTCTATGCTGATCCTGCTCCACGTGGAGAGACAGACTGGCCTAAATGGACTGGCTTAGTGCACATAGGTGGCACAACACCTTCTCAGAAGCTCTTTGGCCATCCAGAAAGGGCTGCAGCTATGACAGATGCCACCACAGGTCAGGATGCCAAAGCCAGGCATCTGGAATGATTGTTAGGGAGCCCTTGTTGCTACTTACTGTTAATGGGTTTCAAGATCAAATTCCTATGTCTTTACTTCCAACTTGACCTAGCTTCTAAATGTACCTGGAGTAGTTGTGGTTTTCCCTGTGGAGCAAACTGGTTTGTATCTAGGCGTGGGGGAGGGGCTGCATAAAATGTGTATCCCTGGGTCTATGGAATAACTTCCAGGAGTTTAACTTTCTCATTGGTCAAACAGAGATAATAATAACCCTCAAGGCCTATCTCTTCCACAAGGCTCATGCTCAGTGCTTCTATGATAGGGATAAGAGTGGAAGGAAAGCAGACAAGCAAATGAAAAAAAAGCAAGGGCACAGATAAACACCCACATGCACATGCGCATATGCATGTACACACACACACACACACACACACACACACACACACACACACACACACACACAGAGTCAGCTCTCCCGTCTGTTCAGTTGCTGGAGCAGCTCTGCGTGTATTTGCTGGTGTTCTGGAAGGTCTTTGAGGACACTGCAGAAACTTTTATTTGAATTCCTTCTCACATTCTCTGTGTATCGGGAGGCTGTAGGGCTCATAAATGAGACTCGAGTTGAGAACATCCACACATCCACAGACGAGCTTGGCCTGCTGATTGACACAAAATGTGGAGAGTCCACGCTCAGCCACGGAGTTTGGATCAGGCCTGTGGGTAAAGAAAGCCCAGGTAGTTTTGAGCAGGGAAATTCCGGGTGATGACAATATACTCGAAGCATTCATTTGGCTTATATGGGCAGAATGGAGTCCCGTGAGGACAGAGCTGGGAGCCACATCAATAATCAAGGTGTGAGGTGATGGGAACCTGCTCCAGGGTGGGAATATTTGGCCAGGGTGTGTGGGGATATTGTTTCCACCTTAATTGCTTATTTGCCACAAGTTAAACTTCCATCCACAGTTTGCCTTGGCTGGTAAGTCTTCCTGACTCTGGAAAACACACTCCAGCCTTCCATAGAGAAAGGAAGCAAGAAGGGAGAGTAGGAAAGGAAGAAAAGAGAGAGGAAGGGAATTATGGAAGTGGGCAGGCGGGAGTGTCTGGCATGAAGACTGGACTGTGGGGATGAGCATTTGAGTTGATTCAGCTTGGAAGTCGCTGCCTCGAAAAGACCCAGTGAGAGCGCAGAATGAGTGACTGTCTGTTTATGCCAGGGACGTCAGTCCGTGCAGAGGGACTCCCGGTCACTGCTCCTCTAACTCAGCTTCACTCTCATTTGAATGATGGCTTTCAAATGTTTTTGAGCAAATATATAAGAAAAAATATAAGATTTAGGAACAGAGAGACGGCTTAATGGCTAAGAGTCTATTTACTTTTGCAGAGGACCCAGATTCAGTCCCTTGCACCCATGTGACAGATGACAGCCATCTGCAACTCGAGGACCAGGAGATACAGTCCTTTCCTCTGGCCTCCGTGGGCATCAGGCATGTATGTGGTACATATAACTATATGCAGGCAAAACACCGATTCACATAAAAAACATTAAAAATGTACGAAATGAGTTGTGTATTACAAACACTTGCATAAGCAGCTCTACTCAAAATGGTAGCTCGTGGCACATTCCTCTGGGTACTACTGTGGCACTGGCTGGTATTCTTTCTTTTTCTCTGTAATCTATTTTGAGATTTCTTTTAGCAAAAGATGATTATGACTGAGCTGATTTTCAGAACATTGAATGAACACCAACATGTTCATTATGAAGCATGGACTTCTAAGAACCAGGAACTCAGTGCTAAGTTTTGATAATCATCAGTTCACACCTAGAAGGGTGTGTGTGTGTGTGTGTGTGTGTGTGTGTGTGTGTGTGTATGTGTGCGCACACGCACACACAAGTACACATGTACACGTGAAGGCAGGAGGGCAATCTTGGATGTCATTCCTCGCTGTCTACCCTGTTTGGTGAGTCAGGGTCTCTCATTTGGCCTGAAGCTTTGTCATCTAGGTTAGACTGACAGCCCAGCGAGCCCCAGGGACATGGCCATCTCTTCCTGCACAACGTTGTGATTACAGATGCCTTTGGCTTTTCCTGGTGGCTCCAGGGATAGAACTCAGGTCCTTGTGTTTTCAAGGCTTTACCAACCCTCTCTCCAGCACTGGGAGCATTTAAATTGTTTTCCATTTGCTACTATCCAATTTCTGGAGTTCCGTGAACTGGGAACAGTACTGTCTACCATAAAGCCTTGAGTATTCAGGGAAACAGTTCGTATCTGATTATATGCAGAATACTTTTTTTTTTTTCAAAGACTGGTGACTGCCACCAAATGCCAGGAATCCATCTTCACAATTCTAGTCACTTCTCAACAGGTGAGCTCACAGGTGGGTTAGACCTCAGCATCAAGATCCCTCCTCAGATTCACAGAAACCATGCCAATGCCAGCTGCATTGCTGGCTTTGTGGCCCTCCCTTGGGACACAAGCCCACACACAAAGATCCCTCAGTCAGGATGGCTCACTAATGAGAACTGAACCCAGACACAATGGCCATAATTGGTGTAGACGATTTAATGTCGTAGGCTGGTTCTTTATATTATCCTTGGCTCTAGTGGATCCAGGCACACACAGTCACATTCTTTACCTGCAGTTAGCTATAATTTCAAACTAGAAGGAATTCTTTCCTACCTTGGAAACCACAAAATGAAATCAAAGAAATCAGATCTTTTGCAAACCCAGGTTTCCCCTTGATGAGGAGAGGTGAAAGTAAAGCCTTGGCCTCCGGCTGGAAAGAAATCTGAAAATGTCTGATTTTCATCAGATGGCCAAATTACCTGGGCACACAGTAGCCATGACAAGCCCTGGCTGGAAGCTCTCAGGTGGGCATGTGCAAACCTGCGACTTAGCATCCTGGTGCAGCAGAAAGTGGGACATCAAAGCAGAGAAGGAAAGGAGAAGCAAGGGAATGGAAAACGACCTTGTGAAAGGGAACCGGGTCTCAGTTTCTTGGAACTGAGTCCCTATGGGCTCAGATACTGAGCAACATTCCAGAAAGAAAATCTGTGAAGTGTCAATCCAATGGGCCAGGCATCAGAATCTGTGACGTGTCAATCCCAGAGGCCATGCATCAAAATGAGAGACATAGTAACTCTGCCTGTGTGCTCACCATAAAAACCAAGGGCTCAGGAAAGGCTGTCTGGTCTTTCTCGGAGGTCTTTCTTCTTTGAGTAACAGGACTCTGTAATGTAACATGATTTCACATGTTCCCTTTGCTTTCTGAGCTGTGCTTGGTGCAGAAGGGGGAATTTCCTAGACATGGTTCAATTTCCGATGACTAGAGTATGCAAAAGTCTGGTGCAGGGTAAATTCTTTTCTTAGTTCATCTCATTTACGACCAAATAACCTGACCAGAAAGCAGCTTAGGGAGAAAGGGCTTATTCCAGCTCACCGTTCCAGGTTACAGACCATCACTGTTTGGATGTAACAACAGCAGGTGTTTTGAGGTCGCTGCTCTTATGCCCACAGTCAAGAGCAGAGAGATAATAAATGAACCCTAACTGTTAGCTTGTGCTTAGCTAGATTTTCTACTCCTCCAGAGTGCAGACTTCTGAACATCCTCTAGTCATTCCTTCTGCCTGCCCAGGGACACTCAGTGAGTTTTCCTAATTTTGTGTAAAGTGAGACATCCCAGCCAATGTATATGTAAGAATCTAGATCTCTCATTGAGCAGAATCTTATGAGACTTGCGGATTTCAAAAAGACAATGTTAGACATGATGAAAAAGATAATGGCTTTGCTTACACACATTACTATTTGCTTATTTTTGAAAGTGTGAAGTGATTTTCTTTTACATTTTTTTTAATTCATTAGATTTTTTTTAAAAAATACCAATCCAATTCCCACTCCCTCTCCTCCTCCCATTCCCTCCACTCACTCTCCCACCCCACCCCCACCAATCTTCAGAGAGGGTAAGGCTCATTGCTTTGTGGAAGGCCCAAGGCCCTCACTACAATATCTAGGTTGAGCAAGGTATCCATCCAAAGAGAATGGAATCCCAAAAAGCCAGTACATACAGTAGGGATAAATCCTAGTGCCACTGCCATGGCCCCTCAGTCTGCCCCAGCAATTCAACTGTCAACCACATTTAAAGGGATTAGTTTGGTCTTAGGTGTAGTAGAGGCTGCGGGTTTCATTCCTGCCGCCCCAGCTCCCGGCCGCCTGGCTAGCTTATGCCCCGAAATAACGACACACAAACTGTATTCATTTAAACCCTGCTTGGCGCATTTCTATTAATGTGTGTAGCACCGAGGTGCGCTTACTGGGAAGATTCTAGCCTATGTCCATCCTGGGTTGGAGCTTCATCGTGTCTGCCCCAGAGAGGAGAGCTATCGAGAATGAGCTCACTTCTTCTTCCTCCCAGCATTCTGTTCTGCCTACTCCACCCACCTAAGGGATGGCCTATCAAATGGGCCAAGGCAGTTTGTTTATTAGCCAATGACCTTCCTCCATCACTTAGGCTTGTTTCTTCCCATTCACTCAGGTAAACTGTTTCAGTGGGTGAACCCATCATGGTCTTGACCTCTTTGCTCAAATTCTCACTCTTCCCACTCTTCAACTGGATTTTGGGAGCTCAGTCCAGTGCTCTGATGTGGGTCTCTGCCTCTATTTCCATCAGTTGCTGGATGAAGGTTCTATGGTGACATTTAAGATATTCATCAATCTGACTACAGAGCAAGTCAAGATTGGACCCCCTCTCCTCTATTGCTTAGGGTCTTAGCTGGGGTCATCCTTGTGGATTCCTGGGAATTTCTCTAGAGCCAGGTTTCTGCAAACCCCTCAATCAAAATATCTCTTCCCTTGCTCTCATCTCTGTCCTTCCTCCATCTCTACTAGCCCATTCCCTCAAGTTCTCCTCAATCCTTCTCTTCTCCCCTTCTCTTCCCCTTCTTCCCTCCCTTCTCCCCCGAGCCCCATGCTCCCAATTTTATCAGATGATCTTGTCTGTTTCCAATTTCCAGGTGGATCTATCTATGTTTTTCTTTGGGTTCACCTTATTACTTAGCTTCTCTAGGATCATAAACTATAGGCTCAATGTCCTTTGTTTATAGCTAGTATCCACTTATGAGTACATACTGTATTCATCTTTTTGGGTCTGGATTACCACACTCAGGATAGTGTTTTCTAATTCCATTCATTGCATGCAAAATTAAAGATGTCATTGTTTTTTTACCACTGAGTAGTGCTCGAATGTGTAAATGGGCCACATTTTCTTTATCAATTCTTTGGTTGAGGGGCATCAAGGTTGTTTCCAGGTTTTGGCTATGACAAATAATGATGCTATGAACATAGATGAACAAATGCTTTTGTAGTATGATTGAGCATCTTTTGGGTATATGCCCAAGAGTGTTATTTATTGCTGGATCCTGAGGTAGGTTGATTCCCAATTTTCTGAGAAACCACCACATTGATTTCCAAAGTGGTTGTACAAGTTTGCATTCTGACCAGCATAAGATATCATTAGTGTTTTTGATCTTAGCCATTCTGACAGGTATAAGATGGTATCTCAGAGTTATTTTGATTTGTATTTTCCTAATAGCAAAGGATGTTGAACATTTCCTCAAATATCTTTTGGCCATTTGAGATTCTTCTGTTTAGAGTTCTCCGTTTAGTTCAGTACCCCATTTTTAATTGAGTTATTTGGAATTTTAATGTCTAATTTCTTGAGTTCTTTATATATTTTGGAGACCAGTCCTTTGTCAGACCTGGGGTTGGTGAAGATCTTTTCCAAGGATTCATGATTTTCTAAAATAAATGTTTCAGAATGCATGTATCTGCATTCTGTTCTAATAGAGTAAAATAGGAGCAAAAGGTCTGCAGGATCCACCAATTCTTCAGGTATTTTGACTCTGATCAAATGCTTGTGAGAAACCCTGCACCATGTCCATCTGTCTGAGACTCTCTTGAATTTCTGAGTTTTGAACTATAGAGCACATGCTCATTCTCCTCTCTGCCATATCAAACTCCAGGTCTGTTAATAGCTGATAATTAATAGGTAGATGTTACTCTTTTGTGGTAAATGAGATACTTTTTAGAGCAAATTTGCCTTTTACAGAAGCTAATTAGGCTATGATTTTCTCTCCCTTTCTCTTTCTCTCTTTTCTCTCTCTCTCTGTATGTGTGTGTGCATTCACATTTATACATGTATGTAAATATATATTCTACTACATAAAATGTTCGAATTTGATAAAAAAATTCAAACAAGAATATATTTCTTCACAGAAATCATTCAGACATTACACTTTAGTTCTAGATAGTACTGCCCAAAGTCTGCAATCTGTTATTTTTAGTTACCTTAAACTCTGACATTTGCAGAAAAATGGATGGAACTGAAAATCATTATGTTAAATGAAATAAACCAGACTTCCACGAAATTCACCCTTTTTTTCATATGGAGACTTTAGATTCTAATTCTTATGTGTCTGTAAGCAATGAAACTAGAAGGGGAGTGTAAGGGAAAGAGAAAAAAGGAAAAAAATAAAAATAATTAAGACAGGATTACATGTGGCACAACAGCAGAGAGGGAAGGTTTGGGGAAGGGAGATGGGGCTGGTGTGGGGGAGGGGGACAAATAAGAGTAAGTACATAAGTAAGCACCATGGTGAGACACTTTAATTTGTTTTCTAATTTTAATTTAAATAATCAAAAGGAGGTCAGAGCGATGGCTCCGTGGGTAACGGTGCTTGCTGCTAAGCCTGGTGACTTGAGTTCACTCCCTAGGTGCCATATGGGAGAGAGAAAGGCCACAGCCTTCAAATTGTCATCTTCCTCATGGTGTGCATGCCATGGTACAGACACATGCGTACAAACAAACAAATCAATATTTTTGGTAACTTTAATTGCTCCAGAAACCAGGTTACTTTTCTTATCGTGTGGTTTGTCTAGCAGATGGGACTACTACAATTCCTCTCTCCCTGTCACTTCTCTTCTGGCCTGTCTGGAACAGGTGAAGGTGACTCAGCAATCCTGTCCCTACACATCCCTCATTTCCTATGTTTATAAAATAAGATCCGCATTTGTCGCATATGTAGAAGCATTAACTTAGAATAGTGAAGTAATAAAGAATTCAAACAGAAAGCCATAAAGGCTAAACAATGGCATGTTACTTGAATTTTTTGCCATGTGTACACAACAGATATTTTTCCTGTTTCATCTCTGAATGAAATAACTTGCTCCTCACATTTATCCTCAGTCAGTCTTTGTCCTGAGAAGCATGACGGCTGTAATTAAGCATTCAAGAAACTTCATGCATAGTCCACATAAAAATTACATTTGCCTCTTGCATAAACTTTTGATAATTATCCAGTTGTAAATTCAGAAACCTTTTTATTAAGTCCTGGTGCAGAAGCTAGAGGTTTCAGATTGCATGCTAAGCTTTGTAGCTTTTATTCCCTGACTCGGCTGCTCTTTTCCACTCTGGTCTGTCATATGTCAAGTTATACTTAGAATAGAGGAGGGTTTCCTGTTGAGGTATAAAAGACAAAAACCAGATATGCTTCACTCAATGTTTCATCTCAAATGAGTAAAGGACAGTTGCTGTGTACATGATAATGATGGTGTGATCTCTGCTTGTTTTGAGGAACTTCAGCTCACACAATAGGACATGGCAGAACCAGAACCAGCCTGGAGGGAGGATTCCATTCACTGAGCAATAAGCACACAGGAAATTCCAACAGAACACTAGTGTGTGCTTACACAGAGCTGCAAGAAGACAATAAAGCTAGTCTCTGCTAATGGTCTCTTGAGTTCTGGTCTTTCTGGGAAAAACAAATGACAGATAATTTTTCTCTATAATGAGAAGATCTGAATGGGTTGCTTTGCTCAACTTAGTTCATTTAACCTTCTATTATGAAAAACAGAACTTGGAGCTAATTTTCCCAAGTTAAAGTCGTATTCCTGCTCTAGCAGGTGGCTGTCACAGGGCTGTATCATTTCTCTATGCCCTTGAATTTCCAGAAGGATGTTAATGAGTTAATGAGGTTAGAATGAAGATTAAATCAATGAATACTTGAGAAGCACTTAGGCTATAGCCTGTTTCATACCAAGCGCTCAATAAAACTGAGTCAGCATGCCTTCAACAGTAAAGCCAGTGTTTTTATATTTAATCATTCCAAGTAAAGGTGTCTATCACTCATGGAAGACACAGGATGACCATCTGGGCTCGCTGGCAGAAGGCTGTTTGTTTATTCCCAGCTGACCAGACTCAAAATAACCACACAGAAACTATATTAATTAAATTATTTCTTGGCCTATTAGCTCTAGCTTCTTATTGGCTAGCTCTTACATCTTAATTTAACCCATTTTTATTAATTTGTATATCGCCACATGGCTGTGGCTTACCAGTAAGGTTCTGGCTCATCTGTCCCCAGTAGCTGCTACATGGTATTTCACTGACCTACCTACTCTCTCTCTCTCTCTCTCTCTCTCTC